TGCAAGACTTTAACCACTTTCTATTCAGCCATAGTACATAGACAGTTGGAGGCAGCAGCACCGCTGCATGTGGACATGCCCGTGCATTCCCCTGAGTCCACCTCTTGTGCGCGATCCCTGGGAGAGCTCAGTGGCATAATTTGTAACAGCTGTGCTAGGTGAACACTGTAGCCAATCAGCAATCACATGGACAGTAGTAAACAATATGTCAATTCCTGACATCATTGTTTTCTATTGTGTGTTCTTGTTACTCAGTCACAGCCCTGTACAATGTGATAGTTGTGGTCAATCACAACTATCACAGCATTCCTCAATGGCTGCAGGCATGCAGCCAGAGAGAATGAGAAATAATTTCCTTACAACCTTCATGGCTGTAAAAGCAATTACAGTTTAAAAAAATCCTAATCACCCCCCTCAGTGACACTATGACATAATGGTGACACTGTACTAATAGGGTGGCAATATTAAAAAAAAATGTAAAAAAAATGTAAAAATAATTCATTTTTTTCTTCTCAACTCACTGTCACCAGTTAGTGTTCCCACTCACCAGCACCCAGTCAAAGTGTCCTTAACCACTACCGCACCAGCTTCATTGTACCTGATCACTGCCACTCCAGCTAAAATGTCCGTGATCCCAACCACATCAGTCTCAGTGTCCCTGATCACCGCCACAGCACTATATTGTCCCTAATCACTGCTACTCACTCACAGTGTTGCTAATTATGACCACACCACTCACCAAGTCTGTGATCACTGCTATGCCAGTTACTTTGTCCTTGATCATTGCCACACCAGTCCCTGTATCCCTGATCACAGCCACACCACTCATATTGTCCCTGATCACTGCTTCACCAGTTACAGTGTCCCTGATCACCACCCCATCGGTAATATTGTCCTTAATCACTGCCACACAAATAATGGTGTCTGTGATCACTGCCACCTCAGTTACAGTGTTACTGATCACTGCCACACCAATGCAGTGTTGTCTGCTGCCTATACCAATCCTGGTCTGTTCTTTCACCACATTTCTGCTTACTACCTGGACCAATCCTTTGTTTGGTTGCTGACCATGTCTCTGCCTGTGGCCTGAACTGACTCTTCTGAACATCCCACTGACTATGTTCCTGCGAGACACCAGTCCAAGCCATCCCCTGTGGACAACTTCACACCTTGAACCACAGAAACTCCTGTACTTCCTGTTCAGTTAACATGAAATCCATAGGGGCAGACACATACCAGTGGGCTAGGTTTGCTTGGCTTATAGGAACTGGGAACTGACACTACACATCTATAAATTGGATGTGTAATGCATGCCCCTAGAAAACCTTGGCTGCTCCTTGGATTTTGGGCCCCTCTGTTTGGCTAGACTGTGAAAGAGTCTTATGAATGTGGTATTTCCATACTCAGAAGAAATAGCAGACTGTGCTGTGGGGTGTATTTCCAAGTATGCCTATGATGTGTGTTGGAAATACCTTATTAATTGACAGCTTTGAGTAAAAACATTACATTTTCATTTTTTTTTCTGCGTTTTCCAAAAACTTGTGACAAAAATCAACTTTTTCAATAGACTCGTACCTTTCATAAAATACCTTAGGAAAGCTTTTGCTTTCTAAAATTGGGTAATTTTACGGGTGTTTCTGTCCTGGTACTCCAAAGCCTCCAAAAATTTGATACGTACTCAATAAATTAGATGTCTGAAGGTGCTCCTTGGATTTTGGGCCCCGTAATACATCTAGATTGTGAAAAAGTCTCACACGTATATGGTATCCCCATACTCATGAGCATGACAGAATGTGTTTTGATATGTAAATGTAAGTATGACCATGCTGTATGTGAGATATAACTTGTTTAAATGACAACTTTGTGAACACAAATGTATTCATTTTTTCATTTTCCAAAAAATTCTGACAAAAAATTACAACTTCAAAAAGCTCACCATGCAATCTTTATAAATACATAGGGTCGTCTGCTTTCCTGGCATTTTAGGACCTCAAGAAATGAGATAGACAGTCAGAACATCAGGAATGGTCAATTTTCATATATATATATATATATATATATATATATATATCTATCATAGATTGTATACTCTATAACTTTGAAACAGACTACATAGTATAGCTGGTGTGGACTATTTTGAGTTATGTAGCAGAATAGATGTTGGCCTAAATTTGTAAGGAAAGAATATTTATTTACAGAAATGTAAATAAAAAAAAAGTTTTTTGTTTTTTTTTTTACATTTTTGGTACATTTCGTTAGCAAAAAGTACAAAAAACAGTGGTGAGTATATACCACCAAAATAAAGCTCTCAGTCTTATAAATGATAAAAATATAATCTGATAATTTCATCTGGTAATTGTCATTCAAAGTATGAAGGTGCTGAAAACTGAAAAATGGGGTGAAGGAGGTGAAAATGTTCGGACCTTAAGTGGTTACATTTTATGCAGAACACCAGCCAAGGATACAGCAAGGGAAATCTGATGGACTGTCGTGCTTCCACCGTATGTTGGCAAAATGTGCAAAAGGGTTGCTTTAAGGGAAACTCACCCCAGGCCCTTTGTTTAGGTATTCAAAAAACAACAAGAAAGACACTATTTAGGTTCTGTACTTACATTCTCTTTAAAGGGATAAAAAATGGGAAATTTGCATGTATTGCAGAGATCTAGTACATATTTGTTCAAATGAAATACACTTTCTTGTTCATTATTTAATTCAGAATATAGAACAGAGTATATTATAATGATCAGTCATGTTTTAAGTATCGTTATAGAAAACAAACATAATTAGAGGTACTTAACCTCCCTAGCGGTCTGATTATGTCCATATTTCTGTGCTCAAAGCGGTAAATTTTTTTGCATGGAAATATGTAGTTTTTTTATTGTAGGGCTGTAATTTTTAGGAATAACTTACTGAAATCTGTCCGAACAAGAGTCTAGTAAACATCCCGGGTATGTTAAAATTTGAAACACAAAATCATAAATTATAATTTAATAAATAATCATAAAAAATATTAATATAATAAATTTAATTCAATAATATAATCAAACCAAAAACACTGAAATGTGAAATAGAGCGCCAAGTTCGCACATCACTGAGCAAAGTCGCAGAATCGTTTTCAGTGTCTGATGAGGAATTTCCCCCACGAATCATTATCACTCAATTCTGCAAGTGGTTTTGATTTACTATCCCTGTTCTCTAGCCGGTCTAAAACTGCGTTTGACCTAAAGGGACGCTTTTTGGACGCCATGGACGTTTCTCAGTTTCCAGGCAGAAAGAACAGTAAAAATGCAGGCAGGGCGCCGGACAAAGCACTCGGGACAAAATGTATGTGAAATGGTTTGATACAGTAATGGAATACTATGTGATTTTAGTGTATTTAGTGAATGTCACTTTTCCAATTTATAAATTTCCCGCCAGTTCCGTCCCCCGTACATCCCGATGTCGCAGGGAATGGAACCCAGAAGACAGATGCTGGTATCGGCCAGAGGACATGGCTGGGGACACTGCAGGAGGGACATTGCGGGAACGCAGGACAAGGTAAGTGCAGATGGGATACGCTGCATGGTAATCCCGAGTGTAGCTCGGGGGTTACCGCTTGTGGTACTGAAACTTTACCCCGAGCTACACTGGGGAATTACGAGAGGGAGGTTAAGAAATACAAGACTGAAGACAATATAACAGTAGATACAAACTGGAGCATAAAGAAAAAACATAACTCGGGGGACCCCAGCATATGAGGAAAATCATATTTAAGGCTCCACATTAACAAAAGTTAAGAAAAAAACAGCCTAGTTAGCCTACTTAAAGCAATTAACAGATTGGAGAAAAGGGAAAAGCAAGAGAGAAAAAGGGAAGAAAGAGGAAAGAACCAGTGGATCCGGTTGGTACAGTGGTTATGGAACAGGCCGGCATGAGCCATCGATGGATGAAAAACTGAATACGCAGTCAAGATTCCAGTAAGGATTGGTCAACATCTCTTGGTAAATACACTTTAATAAAATTTCACACCAGGACCCTTTTCCTAATTGGAATAAATACAATTGCACAATGAGTAAAGCACCACATAGAAGACCCACAAAGTCTATGACAAAAAGCACGTACCCTATTTGCAAGAGCTGACAACCTAATAAAATGGGATTAAGTAATACAGAAGGTATACATTATAAAATGATATATAAAATGGAAAAAGTACATAGAAATCAATAAATTTTCTTCTTCCTGCGCTAATAAATAGATAAGAAGTCATCAATTGAAAGAAAAAACGTCTATAAATAATTTCTCCATATATTAACTATTGCAGATCCCATGACAGTATCAATAAGTATTTCATATTCCCCATAGCACTCATGATTTGATCTGCTTACCTATAAAAGCCACCATACCCTATGATCACACAAATCAACATTTACAGGGCAAGCTGAATGTTATTGTTATTATTATCTAAATGATACAATTCATATTTAATTTTTTTGTTCTGATGAAGATATTTTTGAGATTTTTATGGAGCAAAAAGGTTGCAATTGAAGGTCTTACGCTGGTAAAATTCAAGCATCTGCATTTTTCAGGCTATACGTTGAACGATATTTTGCCGTTTTTTGCTACTCCAGATTATTGTATGATTTTATTTTAGCAATACTTCCTACAATAATGCAATCAGTGGTTTTCTCCAGTAAAGGGGTCTAAGGAAATCTATACGTTGTAAAGCACTATTTGTACTTTTTGAATGGATATTTTTTTAAAAAAATTACTGAGTTACTTAGTTACCGAAACACAGAATCCACCTACATTGAGGAAGGAAATCAGTGGGACACAACACTACAAGTACAATGTCTTTCTTAAAATGAATCAGGTCCCAGCACTATCCACCAATCAGATGTAGAAATGTTATCAGTATTAGCAGTCTTTCATTTTTTACCTAATAATTTACCACTTGGCTGCATTTTCGGTTCTGCATTGTGCTCAGTATATTGGTAATAATGTACTTGTTCTATGTTTAGATGATGAATGAGAAAAATACCACCATTATTACAGTGGTCCACCTCTTAGGGTTTCAGACTCCACATGCTGCAACGTGTTTTTTATTCTTTTTATTTCTTTTGATGTATTATGTGACCATATGTGCAAATCTCCTGATTATCTCATTGGTGTCCCACAGCAAGTCCCTCCATTCTCCCATGTACTTTTTCCTCTCCCAACTGTCTGTAACGGATATTTTATTATCAACGGATGTTCTTCCTAATATGCTTCATTCTATGTTGGAGAACAATACGGCCATCATTTCAATTTCTAATTGTATCACCCAGTTTTATTTCTTTGCTGTCTCAGAAACCTCGGAGTGTCTTCTGCTGACAGCGATGGCTTACGACAGATATGTGGCCATCTGTAAACCATTGCATTATACTTTATTGATGAGTCATCAATTTTGCTGGATATTAGTTATCACAAGCTGGAGTTTAAGTTTTCTTGTTGGATTGATTTATACTATAGAGATGTCAAAATTACAATTTTGTAGTCCTAATGTTATCAATCATTTTTTCTGTGATCTTGACCCAATTCTACAACTCTCCTGCTCTGATACAACCATTTTTCAACTACAATCCACATTAACAAGTGTATTTTTTGCTTGCACTCCAGTTACTATCATCATTATATCATACGTGTATATTATAGTCACTATTTTTGAAATCCCTTCTATTACAGGTCAACAGAAAGTGTTCTCAACATGCAGCTCCCACCTGACTGTTGTTTCCATGTTTTATGGTACCTTACTTTTTGTGTATTTGGTACCTAAGAGAGGACAGTTGTTGGAAATTACCAAATTCGTGTCCTTGCTGTACACTGTGGTCACCCCATTGATGAATCCAATTATATACAGCCTGAGGAATAAGGATTTGAAAGAAGTTGTAGTTAGAATTGCCAATAATTGCATTTCTATAGTTTTTTTCACATTTTGCAAAATACTTAACTAGACATGAAAGCTAAAATCTAATATTTAAATACAAAATATCCCCCAATTAAGAATATCTTGCTGCTTATCAGTTCTAGATGTGATGGCTGCATTCGTTTTTTATCCTCCTTACCGGTCTGATTATGTCAGTATTTCTGTGCTCAAAGCGGTACATTTTTTTGCATGGAAATATGTATTTTTTTTATTGTAGGCCTGTAATTTTTAGGAATAACTCACTGAAATCTGTCCGAACAAGAGTCTAGTAAACATCCCGGGTAGGATAAAATATTAAACACGAAATCATAAATTATAATTTAATAAATAACCATAAAAATAATAATCTAATAATAATACATTTATTTCAATAATATAATCAAACCAAAAACACTGAAATTGTAAATATAGCGCCAAGTTCGCACATCGCTGAGCAAAGTCGCAAAATCGTTTTCAGTGTCTGATGAGGAATTTCCCCCACGAATCATTATCACTCAATTCTGCAAGTGGTTCTGATTTACTATCGCTGTTCTCTAGCCGGTCTAAAACCGCTTTCGACCTAAAGGGACGCTTTTTGGACGCCATGGATGTTTCTCAGTTTCCAGGCAGAAAGAACAGTAAAAACGCAGGCAGGGCGCCGGACAAAGCACTCGGGACAAAATGTATGTGAAATGGTTTGATACAGGAATGTTATACTATGTGATTTTAGTGATTTTAGTGAAAGTTACTTTTTGTCATTTTCAAATTTCCCGCCGTTCCGTCCCCCATACGTCCCGACGTCGCAGGGGACGGAACCCAGATGACAGATGCCGGCATCCGCCGGAGCACATTGCCGGGGACACTGCAGGAGGGACATCGCGGGAGCGAAGGACAAGGTAAGTGATCGAGGGATCCCGGAGCAGCGCTGCAGTGTATTCCTGAGTGTAGCTCGGGGTTACCACTTGTGGTGCTGAAACTTTACCCCGGGAATACCACCAGGGGGGTTAAGACTTAGAATATTTTCATCAATTACAGAAAATATCTACTGACCTTGCCAGAAATGCAGTGTCCTTGTTACTTCCTGCAAACTTCATAGACATTTTCTTTGAAGTTTCTTTCTGTAAACTACTAATCCCAGTTTGGTGATGAAGACAGGCAGATATGTTTGAAGTCCAGCATGGAACAGGAAGAGTATTTTTCCAGGATGTTGAGTTATGTATCACTGGGGATGACAATTTGGGTTCCGAAACACATGCAAGTGTTTTCTAAACATGTGTCTATTAATGTGAAACATATTTCAGATATGGGAAACATGTTTTAGCCATCTTAAAGTGATATTAAAGGCAATATTTGAAAAACAAAAACAACACATCATACTTACCTGCTCCGTGCAGTGGTTTTGCACAGAACAGCCCCAATCTTCCTTTTCTCTGGTCCCCCACTAGTGCTCCTGACCCCTTCCTCCTGCCAAGTGCCCCCATAGCAAGCAGCTTGCTGTGGGGGCACCTGAGAAGGCTCACTCCTGAGCCTCTGCCTTGTGTATCCATTCACATATAGAGCAGCGACTCAACTCCCTCTCTCCTTATTAGCTCACTGGCTGTAATTGCTTTCTCAGTCAATGAGGAGGGAAAATTCCCTGGATCCTGATGGGGCTGAGGTAAGTATTAGGGGGCTGATACAAACAGGGTTTTTTTTTACTTTCATGCATAGAATGCATGAAGGTAAAAAACCTTGAGCCTTTACAATCACTTCAAATTGGAGTATAATTCACCTTTTATTTCTTAGCAGCACAAGTTATTCTTTTTTAGCATGGACAAAGTATGAAAATGTGCAAGTAAAAGATATTATGAAGGGAGGTGGGGTGGACACTATACAGGAGTTAAGACACAAAAGGGGAGTTGCACCTTTAGATGAGTGGAGTGGAAAGTGGAGAATTTACTTCTTCTTGAGAAGTTTCTTAGTTTACAGGCCACCCCGACACGCTGTATTTTCCAGACACACTGTATTGCCAAAAATATTAGGAAAACTCCACCAAATCATTGTATTCAGGTATTCCAATCGCCTCCATGGCCACAGGTGTATAAAATCAAGCACCTAGGCATGCAGACTGCTTCTACAAACATTTGTGAAAGAATAGGTTGCTCTCAGGAGCTCAGTGAATTCAAGTGTGGTACTGTGATAGGATTCCACCTCTGTAATATCTCTATTCGGGAAATTTCCTTGCTACTAAATATGCCATTGTCAATTGTTAGTGGTATTATAACAAAGTGGAAGCAACTGGGAACAACAGCAACTCAGCCACCAAGCGGTAGGCCACGTCACATGACAGAGCGGGGTCAGCATATGCTGAAGCTCACAGTGCGCAGAAGTCGCCAACTGTCTGCAGAGTCAATAGCTAAAGACCTCCAAACTTGGTGTGGCCTTCAATTGAGCCCAACAACAGTGCATAGAGAGCTTCATGGAATGGGTTCCCATGGCCAAGCAGCTGCATCCAAGCTTTACATCACCAAGTGCAATGGAAAGCGTTGGATGCAGTGGTGTAAAGCATGCCACCACTGGGCGCTAGAGCACTTAAGACGTGTTCTCTTGAGTGATGAATCATGCTTCTCTGTCTGGAAATCTGATGGACGTGTCTGGGTTTGGCAATTGCTAGGAAAACGGTACTTGCCTGAATGCATTGTGCCAAGTGTAAAGTTTCGTGGAGGGGGGGATATGGTGTGGGTTTATTTTTCAGGGGTTTGGCTTGGCTCCTTAGTTCCAGTGAAGGGAACTCTTAAGGTGTCAGCATACCCAAACATTCTGGACAATTTCATGATCCGAATGTTGTGGAAGTAGTTTGGGGATGGCCCTGCCTGTTCCAACATGACTTCTCACCAATGCACAAAGCAAGGTCCATAAAGACATGGATGAGCGAGTGTGGGGTGGAGGAACTTGACTGGTCTGCACAGAGTCCTGACCTCAACCCGAGAGAACACCATTGGGATGAATTAGAACTGAGACTGTGAGCCAGGCCTTCTCGTCTGACATCAGTGCCTGACCTCACAAAAGCGCTTCTGGAAGAATGGTCAAACCTTTCCATAAACACCTTCCTAAACCTTGTGGACGGCCTTCCCAGAAGAGTTGAATGTGTTATAGCTGAAAAGCGCGTGCCGACTCAATATTGAACACTACGGACTGGGATGCCATTAAAGTTCATGTGCATGTAAAGGCAGGTGTCCCAATACTTTTGGCAATAATATGTAAGATTATAACTGCAGTGGTGGAGAAGAACCAGCTCCTGAAGGACTGTATTCCATATTTTCTGTGAAGAAACCTTTCCATATTTGAAGATTAAATCTCTTTTCCTCTAGATTTGAAGAGTGTCACTTGTCCTCTGTAATGACCGTAAAGTAAATATCTCTACACCACGTTCACTATATGGACTACTTATGTATTTATACATGTTGATCATATCTCTCCTTGATCTCCTCTTCTAAAGAGAGAATTAATTCAGGTCCTCAAATATTTTCTCATAGCTGAGCTACTCCATGCCTCTTATCAGTTTGGTTGCCCTTCTCTGCATCTTCTCCAGTTCCCCAATATCCTTTTTGTGAATTGGTACCCACAACCTATCCTTTTAGCCCCAAATCAATAGCTTGTAGACTTCACCTCCGTAATATCTCTAAAGATCTCCCCTGTTTAACTAATGAAACCACTACGCTACTCATTCACTTCTGTGTTAGCTCGCACTTTGACTATTACAACTCCCTGCTCATAGGCCTACCTCTCCATAGGCTAGCCCCTCTCCAGTTTATTATGAAGGTTGCTACCAGACTCATCTATCTTATCAACTGTTCAGTGTCCGCTGCCCTTCTCTGCCAATCCCTCCAATGGCTTCTGATTGCCCAGCGAATTAAATTCAAAGTGCTAACAACATAGAAAGCTATTCACAACTCTGCCCTAAGCTATATTACCAATCTTGTTCCCAAATATCGCCCAAACCATCCTCTTCGCACCTTTAATGATCTCCTGCTCTAAAGCTCCCTTGTCTCCTACTCCCATGCTCGTCTCTAGGTTTTCTCCAGAGCCTTTTTCTTTCTCTGGAACTCGCTACCTCAATCTATCCAGCTATCTCCTACTGTGGTTGCCTTTAGGCGATCCTTGAAAACACATCTCTTCAGGGAAGCCTATCATTCCTCCAATTAAACATTTATCAATTCCATCATCTCATCCCCCACAGTTGCAACCTTTTGCACTACGTGCCCCAACCTATTAGATTGTAAACTCTTATGAGCAGGGCCCTCTTAATCCTCTTGTTTGTTTTGTGTATTGTAAGTCTACTGTCTCCCTTTATTTTGTAAAGTACTGTTCAAACTGTTGGTGCTATATAAATCCTGTATAATAATAATAAAAACTGAACTGCGTATTCCAGACAAGGTTTTACGAATGTTTTGTACAGGGATAAAATTATATCTCTCTCTCTGCAGTCTATACCTATCTTAATACAAGAGGATTTTGCTCACTTTGGAAACTTGATATTGCACATTTAGGGAGCTGGGGATCACATTTATGACAGTGTTCAGGCACAAACATAACCCAATCTGAGCAACTGTATCTCTCTATAAGCCAGCTCAGAATTGGTCTTAATTATTGCAATTTTTCTACTCTTCAAATTGGTTGTTAGACCTTTTGAATCATTATTACTGGTTCTTGAAGTTGCAGTAGTTGTGGCATTAATAACTACTTACCATACTGTTTGCGTATGGACCAATTAAAGCAGATGTCTTCTAAAGTTCCATCCATTTCCACTACAGAAGAACTGAAACTTTTGACTTTTAATGTAGGTGCATGGCTTGTTACTGAGCTGAATGGCAGCTGATTGAGAGCGTTCTATTGGTATCTGGTCTACATAATGACATTACAGAATCCAAAGT